AAAGCAAGGAAGCCTGGCTGCTGGGAAATTTTCTTATTCTCGTTGAGCAGGCTCTTTCTAGTTCCCTCTCAAGAAAGTTCCAGCCTTCTGACCCACTGTGCAGTCTTCTGAACATGCCATGTTTTCTCACACACTCCTGCTCTCTCTTTTTCTTAGCCTACTTACTACTTCTTCTTCTTTCAAACTTCAGCTTGGAGTCACTGCCTCCAGAAAGCCTTCCTTGACTTCCTTCTCCACGTCCAAGTCAGAACATTCTTGCTTCCTAAGCCATCAAACTTATAACAATACATGTCAATAGTTCACTTGTAGCTCAACTCTAATTGGACTGTGGTCCCTTAGTGGACAGGAACTTTTATCTCTATAACCTGGACACTTAGCAAGAAATCGGGCCAATCATAAGTGCTCAACACATGTTTGTTGTTGGGATGAATGAACAAATGAGTAGAATGTTTGGGGTGAGGGGGCTTTACAGTTCTCAAATGCTATCCGAGCCACACAGAGGTGAGGCCCATGGACTCTGGAGCCAGACAGCCTGGAACCAAATTCTGATCCTGCTATTTCGTAGCTGTGTGACCCTGAACAAGTTACTTAACCTTTCTAAGAGCCTCAGTTTCTTCATCTGGAAAAAAAATGAGAACAATAAAACTGCATGCCCCTTGGAGTTGTTATAAGAATTAAATGAGACAATGCATGTAAAACATTTAGCATCAAGCCCGGTGCACAATAAGCCCAGATTAAATTATAATATTATTACCACTGCTATTATTATCAGTGGGTTGTCCCGCCTCAAAAAATTGTTTCATGTTCGTATTAACTTCACAGCATTCAAACTCCAACCAATTTCTGCTATTCTCTTTTGAAGAAGCGCTTTTGTAACTGTGCATGAGTTAGCTGATGGCATGTGGCTTGGATAATTTAGGATGGGGGAGGGACATTAAGTCTCACACTGGGATTTAAGGGAGAGTTTTGTAAATGCAGGAATAAAATGACAACTAAGCTGAAAGTGAACCAGCATGACTGTGCTCCCCAACCCCTTGGAAGTAGGTTAAATGAGTGTCCTAAATCTCTCAGCCCGGTAATAACTACTGCATAAGCAAGCCATCCCTCTGCTTGCCTGTCCGTGGGTCTTAGGGGTGTGATAACAAAGGCACACAAGTACAGCCTTGGTAACAGCCTTTTTCCAAATACAAAGTGGCAAACTCACATCTAAAAATGAAACCAGGCTTCTTGGGAGGGAGAAAGAGAAGAAGGGGGTGAGTAGGGGAAGAAAACATCTTTTCAGAGGAAAGAGAGGTTACTTGTTGCCATAGTCAATTTTGGATGTGACTTTCTGCTTCAGCTCCTTCAGCTCGTCCTTGGGCAGAGTTCCTGAGAGGAGCTGGGACCGCCACTCCATCAGGTCGTACATCATGGACTGCACCTGGAGGAAGCGCTCCTTTTTGCTGGCCTAGGAAACAGGAAACAATCTACAATCGCCTGTGCCCAAAGTGCTTGGGCATCTATTTGGCAAATTGTTCCCTAATCGGGCAAGCAAGTTCAGGGCCATGGCAGATCATCCTTCCTGGCCCCTATCCTGCAACAAAAAGATGGGTGCTGGTCTTCGTCATTGACATGTTTCCTACCCTACGCACTCTGGGCCACAGAATTTTCTCAGAAGCAAAAATTACGATCTCAATCACTTCCTTGTTAAAGAAAGGGTGATTTCTGACTCTTATCCAAAAAGACACAGAAGCAGGAATACCATGAACATCTGCTGTGAAGGGGAGCAGATTTTTGCCACCCCGAAATATGTCTCTTTGGTATGAGGATTATTTTGAGCTAAAGGCGATCAAAAGCCAACAGATTCAGGAAAAACTATTTACCTCCCCCTCAACTGCCTAAATTTACATTGAAAAAAGGCCTGTACCAGGAAGAGAGCTATTATCAGAGATACCTTTTTAGGTAAGAAGCTTATCTGCATAACAGGCAACCTTTGTTTTCCAAACATCTCCTCTGCCACTAAGGGAATGGCCTTCCTCCCTGTTATATTCCTAGACCCCTACTCCTTACCTCTGCTCCAGGTGTTATATAAGCCTCAATTACCTGGCTGCCTTTTAAGTCTCATGTCTTTGGGGCTCCCATAGGTGTGAAATTAAATTTGTTTTCTCCTATTAAACTGTCTTACCTCAACTTAATTATGAGACCAGCCTAAGAACCTAGAAGGGAAGAGGTGAAATTTTTTCCACCCCTACAGCTATAATGCAGGTCCTAGAGCTCAAGTCCTTTAAGGCAGGGAACCAGGACCATTTCTCTGGTGATAAAGGCCCATTTCTAGGACAGTGTTTCCCCAAGTGTGACATATATACAACCTGTGGGGCACAAAATGGCTTTTGGTGGTACAAAGGCACAACATCAAATAGCATGAGCCTTTA